AAAATCTGGGAAAACCTACAAAAATCAATGAAATATTTAGAATGGAAATCATCTTTTATTTTCAGTGTTAACATCACAAACTAACCATGTGTTGTCAGAAAGACATGAGCGCTATAAAGCCATCGCAGTGCTTCCAACACCTCCTGAAAGTCTTTAATCAAATCATCTTTCAACTTTAGCGTTTTCTCTGGAATCTTGGTGTACCTGTGCTGGATGTTACGACACAGTATCAGTAGTCGCTCGCATGATTCGGGCAGGAAGATGGCATAGAACTCATGTGATTCTGATGGATCCAATCCAACTGAGCATAGTCTGTAATAGCCAATGCAAATAGTATGCAACTTATAATTACTTAAAAATGCATACTTATTATGCATCTGATTATAACTCCTGTCTACTATTTTTTTTGGTTTTTTTTAGAGGTCCTTGGTCATTCACCTTTGCAGATAAAAAATTGGCTGCAAAGAAGCTCTAAGAGACAGATATGTATCTTTCAAGATGACTGTCTATGTGGAGTATCTGTAATACATGGCCAAATGAAGAGAATGACGCTGGAGTTAGTAGGAGACATCCCTGGATTCCTTTGTCAACCAAATTCTTATGTTCATTTTATAATTAGGTGTAAAACACATTAAAAAAAGTACATTTGTGCACTATTTATTTATTCAATCAATCAATCAATCATTCCACTTATATGGCGCCACTCCAACAGTTGCTGCTCGTAGTGCCATGATTCATTCTCATCTAACAGCAAGTGACCTCTTCGAGAATAGAAATATGAAGCTTAGTGAGGGGAGTTGTTTAAATCTTCAAGAGATAGATTACAAGGCAAGCATTTACTACCAAACTACAGCTCCACCCCAAATGTGCCATTTATTATTTACTATGAAAATGTTTTAAATAACTAACGCTAGTATTTTGGACAATGCTGCTGCTGTGTCCCATTTTCCTGTGATCTGGGAGAAGTCTTGCTTCAATGCGATGAGAACACTTGGTAGAAGATCCAAGTCCCAGATAGCTTTCTTGATGGCTGACGCATGGGATGAAGCTGGCACAACTGAATCAAGAATATCTGAAATGATAAACATTTTATTCTAAGCTTTTTTTTTTTTTCAGTTACTAGGACAAGGAACCAGGAGAAGGAGGTACTTGTTTAATGTTTATGTACACACACTTTCTTATAAGACCTCTGTAGAACATCCAAACCTTGGACTACGCAGAGTATCATCATAGAAATAGAATATTTATTATTATAGCCACTGACTATATACATTTTCCCACAAACTTTTAATGTTAAGCATCCTTATTAAAGGCATGAACAGCCAACCAGCATTATTAAGACAAATAAATTGGGTTAATGCAATTTAATATGAGGGTATAAATACATGGTGGGCAAGATACCCATTACAGTATTTTCTATTTTTAAGATAATAAGAAATTTTAAGAAAATACATTTTCTTATTGTTCCGATTTAAAAAAAAAAAAAAAAAAAAAAAACCGCCGTTCCTCATCAATTTAAAAAAAATGTGATATCTAATTAATCATTTTTTCTATGACTATGTGTCCTAATAGAAAATAAATCACACATTCAATCTCATTTAGACTAGGCTGGTCCTAGGTTTCATGACATAGGCACCTGCAACTACTTTATTACGAAACCTAGTTAGGCTTATACAGCAGTGATGGTGGCCTGGGCCTAGCGGGGAACAGGTCCAGGCGACTCAAGCCTTATACAGTATATCACATCATTCACAGACAGATCCAGCTTGCTCCCTGGAGAAGTCAATGCTGCCGGGTGACA